CTTATATCTTTAATTTCGTATGCATATCTATCGACAAATAATATAAAGATAAAACAGCAATAAATTTTCGGATCATGTTAATATAGAACATATATTATCTATATTATTAAACTATTTGCTCTATCTTTTCTTTGAAATATACAATATGCAAAATTCGTGAAATAATTACATTTAATGTGTAAAAAATCAATAATTAAAAAGATAATATAAATTTAATCTCTATTCACATTTTAATATTTTGATTCAATAAAATTAGGATCTTATATTATTTTGTCTCGACGAATGAATAACCAATATGGTATTTCAAAAATACTTAAAATACTGGCACCCATGAAAAGACCAATTGCACTTCCAACTGAAACTAAAAATAACATCATTAAATTATAATAAAAAAAAATTTTATAGTATAATATTGTAAGATAATATCATGCAAGATACTTCAGACATAAAAAAATTTAGAAATACATGATACTTATCGATAAAATATCAAAAATCTTTTTACAAACACAAAATCAGAGTTGTTTGCTATAATATAACAAATTATAGCTTCAATGTATTCATATATAACAAGTAAAAATTTTCCTATATGGTAATCACAATAAGAGATACATATGTTAAACAATTGATAATAGCAAAAGATTATATTTAAGAATGATAATGAGTATATTCTATATTTTGATCATCACATAATATATATATATATCTTTATCTCAAACAAATAAAAAATTGATTACTTATGATGATACTTTATGAAACAAAATATTTTGTATAACATTACATTTTATAGTTCTATAATTAATTAAATTATTGATATATTATCTATATATGAAATCCGAGTAAAAAATATAGTTTTTTGTAAGATTTTTATCTGAATTTTTGAAGGTAACTTTATATCTTTTCGCAATTTCTTCATTAATTTGCCGGAAGCATTATTTGTTTGATAATGATAATAGCATTAATCATGAAGGAAATTTAAAAAAAAAGAAACATAAATATTTAACTTTGAATAAATAATTTTCATTTTTTTATCAAATGATATATGATTTAAATAGATAGAATTATAATTGCTCATAATAATAATTAAATTACCTATAACGTTTAAAAGATCGTTGACCACATATCGACGATATCGTATCATTGGATGTGAAAGCAAAGTAAAATGAAGACGTGTATATTTTTCACCTAAAGGATCATATTTATAAGATTCAAGCAATTGTTCCCTATAATACAAAATATCATATTATATTTAAGAATATCATAAGTTAATTTTAAAAAAAAATTAATAAACATTTTATGTTTAAAAATTGAATCACATAATGCTTTATGCTTAAAAAAATGTTATTTGTAATCTAAAATACAATATGTATATATTTTTTTTATATTAAGATATTTTCAATCATTAATATTTTTACAGGATTCATACACAGCCAATGATGTTCCCTCACAATCCGGAACACATTCATCCATAAGTGATTGCATATTGAAATTCATCTTATTAGCATATATGCAAGACATTTCCGTACTATTGCAAACTCTTGTTCCATGAGGCACAAAATAATAAAAATTTACGCAACCACAGAGCTTTATCATCCGTTCTATAATTATCTATAAATAGCATTCATTTTTTACTATTAATAAAATCATAAATTATATGAAATTCTTTAATTGATCGATAATAAGTATAATATTTGAAAAAGATTTGGTATATTTGTTCTGAAAGAGAAAAATTGACGTACTTCTACATAACATGAATCTCTACTATAAATGTCAAATAAATTGTATGCTCGTTTTTCATTAGGAAATCGACAACCTCTGTGTTCGATCGCAATTTTTTTTACGCCATCCTCATTAAATGTGTCTTCCATTGTAAATCCAACTCGAGTTGTGTGTCCGATTTTTAAAATTACATGACTCAAGCTTTTAAATATTGGTAATTGTAAATTGTTGAGAACATGTACCTAAAATTGCATAATTTTTATCAATTGTTTTCTTTTTTTTTCTTTAAATAATTATATAATAAAACATTTTCTCGAAATGTGTCAAAATATATTATATATTAATAATACTAAAAAGTATTAATAATACTTCAACATATATCTTATATGATTTTATAATCTTCAATAGGCGTTTTCTATAAATTTTAATATATTAAATATGAATCTGCAAAAAATTTTTTCCACGATTGTTTAAAAAATCAATTTTAAAAAAATTACAATTTTTTAGCTTTGAAAATGTTTTGTATTCTCACAATGATAATTATTCAATAGTAATAATTCATAAAATGATTCTATGAATTCTCACGAATCACGAAAATAATAAATTATTAAATTATAAACATTTAAATATGTTTAAATAATAATTAAAGTTAAAAAAATGCCGAAAACATTCATTTTTGCTGGTATTTTTTAATTTATTTTAAAAATTAATCATAATCTATGTGATAAAATAGATTCTAGATTAAGAAAAATATCGAAAAAAATTACAAAATTATTTTTATTTTTAATATAAAAGTAAAATAAAAATATGTAATAGAGATAATCGCCCGTCATTGATTACTATTACTACAACAATATAAATATAATAAATATAATATTATATAAATTCGTATTATTATCTACTTATTTATAAATACTTAATGATTCATTAGTGATATTATTATGTATTATTTTAACATGACCTCAGACAATTGATAAAACTAATTGCATTGCTAATGGAATTTTGAAAAGCTTTATTAAAAATCAACAATGTAAATTTAAATCTCTGTTTTTTATGTGTATTTTACTTTTTTAAAAAGTTTTTATAATGTGCTGCCATATTTCTTCAATAATAATTGTAATTTTTCGATAAATACTTTTTCTTAGATCATTGAATATTGTTAATAATATTGTTTATTATATTATTTATAAATATAATATTGTTATAAATATAATATAATTTATAAGATATATGTATATAAGATATCTTTATAAAAATTATATTAAAATAATTAAGAATTAAAGATTAATTATTTAATAATTTCAATTCTAATTCTAATTTTGAATTTCAGCTGAAATCATTGCAATAAAATGAAAATTGGTGAATTATTAATTAAATTAAAATATTAAAAAATAGATACGAACTGTAAATCCATTATAAAGATGTTGTTTCATTCTTGCATCTACAGAAATATCAATGATAAGATCACCATATTTCACGGTACGATTTACAAAGAAATGCACGTTTGATTTATCAAATTTTTTCAAATGAAATGTATTTATCGCAAGGCAATAACCCACGCCAGTTTTTCTTAATTCCTGGAATTTAGTACAACAATCGAATTTTATGTTGTTCCAACTGCATTCCGCAAAGAACTCTTTACAAGGAATACGTATCTATGATAAATATTTATAATATATTAACTTGTTCTGTATTCAATAAGTATAATATATTTAATTTCATAAAAATGAATAATAATTCTTCACCTCTTCGTAGAAAGACAGAAGTTCTTCAGATGAATATTTAAAAACTTTTCGAGGCGCATCAGTGAATGATCCTGGATTCCTTAAAAACATTTATTTATATTTTATTCTTAGAAATTGATAATTAGATGTTTTTAGAAATATCTTTAAAAAATTCGAGTTTATGAAAATTAGTTTCAATTATAATATAAAATAATAAACCATTTTAATTTTAATATAACATACAATATGAAATATCTTTTCAATATAGGAGCGGAAGTAATACAAAAAGCAACGGCAGGAAAAGGTATCTGCCAGTCAACATAAGTAGTTTCAGCAGTTAAAGCAACAGGATATTGAACATAATTTATCAATACATCTTTAATCATGTTTGTACAACCCCACCAACATAATACACAAAATATGAGCCAGAATAATCTGTAAATTAATATAATAAATTAATATCGTTATTATAAAAATATAAAATTTCTTTGGATTAATTAAATGTATTCAATATGTATAATTCAAATTTTAAATTCTAAAGTATGTAAATTTTCTGTTTACATATATAAAAATATATATATATAATAATAATTATAATATATAATATAAAATATATAATAATAAATATAATTTTTATAAAAAAACATATATATATGTAAAAATTAAAATATTATATTTATATATTTTATATAAATTTATATATTAATATATATTATATTTATATATTTCAAATCTATTATCTATCAATTATTTAATTACAATTTTTATAATAATAATTTTTAAATAAATACGATTACCGTTCTATATATGATAATTGATCGTCTACGAGATATTTAACACCATGTATATTGCAATTTGTTAAATATTGTTTGATAATTTTCCACCAAATGAATTTTATTTTCATTATTAAATCAAATAAATACTAAAATAGTAGATTAAAACTAACAAAATTGACTAAACTGTCGTGATTGTAACGAATCGATTTAATATAATATAAATAACTTTATAAATTATACAGAATTTGATTTAATCTTTTATTACTTACACAAATTAATGATTATTTTATTACGTAGGTATATTTCTATGTATATTATTCTATATATTTTTATAAATTCTTTTAAAAATTAATTGAATAAATGCAGAAATATTCAAATTATTTATATTATATATAAATATATTTATACATTTTTATTAAAATATTGATAATTGAAATATATTAAATTTATAATTTGATTTGATTAAAATGAACGAGACACTATTTGAATAGTTTTTTTATTGATTTAGAATAACAATATTAATTATAATTATTAAAAATTTTGTAAGAAAACTTGAATTTTTTGCGAAATTTTTCCATTCTGATAATATATAGTTTTATAATAAAATTACTTAATAATATAAAATTAATAAAAGTAGTTTCAAATAACATTATTGTTATTAGAATAGTTAGATAATTGCATTTAATTTATATTAATTTATAAATATCTTTTTTAAATCCATGTATAAATACATGTTAGCATTTATACCGATAAATTTACTCATATAAGTAGTAAATACTTTAAGGTTAAAGTTACTTTTTTACAAAAAGTCAATTTTATATCAGAAATTGCTATTCAGTTTAAATTAAACAATTAGTAACACGTTATAGTTAAAAAATGAGAAGATATTTTATCAAATTTTCATATCTTGGTACACAATATAGGTATAATTATATATATGTATTTATACATATTTAGATCATAAATTTATTTCTAAATTTAATATTAAAAAATATTATTGTTAAAAAATGTTAAGAAAATATAAAATATATAAATAGCAGAGAATAAAATCTGAAATTTAACAATAAAAATTTATTATATTATTTATATAGTATTATTTAAATATTAAAGTATTATTAAAACATAAAAAAATTTTATTTTTATATTTAGAGGAATGCAAAAAAATGTAATTCAAGATGAAAATATTATAATACGTGATATTGATACTATTCAAGGAGTTTTGGAAAATGCTTTTACAACTTTAATACCAAAATGTATAGAATGGCCAAAGATAACTTGTTCTAGCAGGTAAATATTTAATTATATATATAATTAATATTTAATATTATATTGAATAAGTATATATTATACAATAATTATAAAATAATTAAAATTCATAGAACAGATATTGGTGTACATAGTATGTGTAATTTAGCTCACATTGATATAAAAAATAAATATGACTCTATTTATTATCCCAATGATACACTTAAATTTGTGAATCGATATCTTCTTAATTGTGATCATAATATAAGGTAAATATATATTTAAAATTTTCATATTTTTTAATCATATTATTTTATATTTTTTAATCACAAATTATTTATATATTATTTTCAGGTTATTAGAATTTATTCCAGTAAAAAAGACTTTTCATGTAAGGAAACTTGTAAACTCTAGAACTTATCTTTATAGATTTTTAGTAGCTAAAAATAAAGATGAACATAGAATTCCCGTTACAGAATTAAATCAGTGTTTTCATGTCAGGTATAATTTATATCTGTGAAAAAGATATGTTTATTATATAAAATATAATAAATATGTTTATTGTATAAAAAATTATATAAATTGTTTTTATTACAGATCAAATACTTTTGATTCTGAAAGAATAAAACGTGCAACACAACTTTTTATGGGAACAAAAGATTTTAGAACATTTTGTGCAAAAAGTATAACTAATAAATCAATTAATTATGTACGAAATTTGAATAGTTTAACTATAGAAAAAGGTTATCCACTTATGCCAAATGATCCTTTATCTCAAAACTTTGAATATTGGAATATTATATGTTCAGCAAAAGGTTTCTTATATAAACAGGTATGATTAACAAATATTTTTTTATAAATAAAATTCACACATACATAAAGGATATAGATATTAATTTTATTATTAATTTTTTATAAATATTATATTATTATAGATTAAAATATATAATAATTATAGATATATTAATATTATTAATATTTTTTTTTATAGGTTAGACGAATTGTCGGTGCTTTAATTGCTTTAGGTTCAGATAAAATAACAGAAAAAGATATAAGTGTAATGTTACAAGTTCCTGGTCATCATAATTATCTTCCTCAGATACAGACAGCTCCAGCTTATGGTTTATATCTTATGAATGTAGGATATTGCCATGAAAAATTAAATGAATATATTGTAAAATACAAAATTTCTGATAATAATATAATTATACCATTAGATACAGATGAAATCTAATATATATTTTTAGAAATTTATGTAAATATCATTAAATGATTTTTTTGATCAATTTTATATTTTCCTTTCTTCATATTATTTGCATATTGATAATGGATTTAAACAGTTTAATAAAAAATAAAAAATTAGAATTAAAAAAATGTAAAACTATTGTAACTAATACACTTGGTCAAAAATATGAAGAGTATAATGGAATAAAAAGGAAATTATCCTTTACAGGAACACCATTTGTAATAGATAATAAACCTGATTTACAGATTGCACAAGTAATACAAGGATTGTTCCTAAGCTCACAAGATCCAATTATAAACAAAGAAATATTACAAAAACATAAAATTCGTCATGTTTTAAGTATTGGTATTGATGTACCAGTAAAATTTGATGACATTAAGTATTATTATTGTGAATTGTTGGATTTACCCGAATCTGATCTAATTGTAGTAATTAAAAAATGTATCAGAATTATACACAAACATCGCGATGAAAATATTCTTGTACATTGTAATGCTGGTATATCTCGTTCACCAGCGATTATTATATCTTATATAATGGCTCTTCAAAAAATATCATATGATGATGCATATAATAAGGTAAAAAATATAAGAAATTGTATTAAACCTAATGAAGGATTTGTACAGCAATTAAAAACATTACCAAACATTACAACTATGTTATAATAAATAAATGTCAAATGTTATTATAATATATTGTCTCATAATTTATTTAATGCTATAAAGAAAAAAGAAAAAATAACACTATCTTAACAATAGATTAATTATATATATATATATATTATTACAGTAGAGAATTTATATATTATGACATAATGTGTACAGAGAATATTATTTCATAATTACAATTACTTTGTATTTATAATTCATTAGAAAAGGTACATTCATGCACAGCATCTATCAAATTGTTAGCCAAAACTAAGCATATTAAAATTGCTAATTCTGGCATTTTGTATAAACCATGCATTGGAGATGACATATAAGTCGTCGTACCAAGTAGTTTTATAAAAATTACTGTAAATCTAAAAAATATAGATGAATTTCTGTATACATGATAGTATCTATTTGTGATAGTAGTATATTATTGTACCTGCAAGTACAATAGCTATCATATTGATTATATATATGTATATATATAATAATGTAATTATTATCAATATTTATATAATGTATATATATATACATTTATATATATATGTGTATGTATATATATGTAAATATACATATATATATACATGTATATTTATATATAATTATGTATAATCTAATATTCACATTCCTCCAACAATTGAAATGAGCTGTCCTGAAGAAAATAGACAAGGCACTTGAACCGAATATTTTTTTCTTAGCTAGTTGGCCTCATAAATAGTAGAATGCAAAAATTTGCACATCATACAGCAAACAGTAAAATAAAAAGAATAAATAAAATCAGCTATTCAAAGAATACGACATATCACTTGCATTATAAATATCCATGATTCTTTTCTTTTAATGATGCCAATGATTTCGTATCTGGTCTTTAATAACTGCGTAAAGCAGTACAAAAATAGCAAGGCCTTCTAAAGATTATGTTCCTTCAATATACATTATATAATCACTAATTTCTGCTTTTCTTAAGTCCAGCATTTAATAATATACATGATCAACTATCTTTTATTGGCAGATTCGTTCACTTTATAGCACATTGCAATTTCAAGAGCATAAAGCGATTTTATTAATTAATATACTAGCTATAAAAAAGCAGGAAAATTATACTTAGGAACGTTTTCCTTAGAAAGACCTTAAAGCTTCACATTTTGCAAAAAATTTGTATAGACTCTAATATCATCATAATGTAATTCAGAAACAATTCCACTTAAGTCCAACATAACAAAAAAATGCAATTTATATGTACAAAAAATATAAATAAATTAACAAAATATGCTTGGTTAAACGCAAACGCATTTAGCCACGCAATCTATACGAATAGAGACAATCTGGGAAATATATAATATACACAAAAAATTAGTTCCTACAAGAGAAGCCACAGTCTTAAGTACAACATATCTGTACCTGAAAGGCATATTAGCAGAATTAAAAGTTATGAAGAAATCAAATGTTTTTTTGTGAATGAAATTACGCATAATTTGCGTCTGACTGTATGTGTGAATATTTCTAACATGGCAATCAACTAAAATCATGCGTTACAGTTACAGATACATAGGTAATTAGTATATGAACTGTAAATATAAACACCATCGTCAAATGTTATGTAGTAAACCAGTATCAGAGTCCAATAGAGTGGCCAGGTCGTATGCAGCAACATCAGTAATGGAACAGGGAACCACCTAGCACTAATGTGTGTACCCTTCTGTATTGTTTGTCAGAGGAAAGTTCATATATTATGTTTATCTTATGTTTCATTGACTTTTACTCTATATAAATATTAACGTTTCACACCCCAAGGACCATCAGGATTAGTCACAGGTACGTGAGAATATCCAGCAAATTGTGGAAACTCTTCAACACTAGCAGTATTTGGAGCACTTTGCTGTTGCTGTTCCCACGGTCCTCCTTTTACTACAAAGCCCGAATTTCCAGAATTTCTTTCATCTCGTTGAGGTGAACGCAAATTTTCGCGATATTCATTTTCTAAAACATCTTGAATCTAAAATACAATAAATATTATGTAACATAAAATTATTTATCGATTTTATGAAAATAAATGATTTTACATATATTTTATATTAAACTTACATATTCTTCTTCTAAATTCAATAAACGATCCTTAGCATCAGCTACATTTTCTTCTGTACCAACAATTGTTACAATATTAGGATCAGGATCGGTTTTCCTTGGAAATTTAATATCCACTTTAAATTCATCCATTATTTTACGAATATTTCTACCTTTCGAACCAATTAAACGCGAATGTACAGCAGCATTTATATGTACTTCTTCTTTTGTCAAGCCATTCTAAATTATGTGAATATATTTCATTAATTATCATTATATTTATAAAATAAATCTTAAGTAGGCAATATACTTACTAATTCATTAACAATTTTCATAATATCATCTCTTGCAGTACAAGCATTTTTTTCGTAACCAGTGATTGTAATGATATGTTCTTCAGGATCACCTTTACGTGGAAAATTAATTTGAACATCATGATCACTACGTATCTTATTAATCACGGCTCCTTTTCGTCCAATTATTTTTGGATGATATTCTGGATCAACTTCAATCTAAAATAAAATTAGTTAAATAAATTTATTTATAATTTTTCAAAATATTATGTTATAATAATATATTATTAATAATTATTATATATAGTAAATTTACCTTCAATTCAAATGATTTCAAAGCTCTATCTTGTCGTTCAGCTTCCAAAGCTTTACACTTATCAAGAATGGCTTGTTTTGCATTTTCAACACATGATGGTGTTCCAGAAATCTAAATAAAAAAAATAATTTTAAATTAAATATTATATTAATATTATATCTTAATATTAAATATCATATTATATTTACATATATATATATATATATATATATATACCTTAATATAATCAAGTTTTTCCTCCGCTGGAGATAACATGATATGAACATCATACGTATTCATTAATTCTCGCACATCACGACCTTTTTGTCCTATTATAGAGCGATGAAGGTCAAATGGTACCTCTACCTAAAAATTATATTAAAATTACGTAATTCTTTGTAAATTATTAAATTATTTTTTATATAATTACTAATAACAATATTAACTTCTATTGTAATTGGTACAAGATCAAGCAGTGCTTGTTTAGCAGCTGCAACATTCTCTGGTTGTCCTGTGATACGAATAATATCACAAGCTGGAACAGTTTCAGAAATTTCGCCATTTTCACCATTCATTTGTTCTACTACACGTTGTTCATCTAAAATATGAATATCTTGATTACAAATTTTATAATTTTTTTTTTTAAATTTCAATTAATTTTAAATTAACCATATGTATCCCGATCAGGAAATTTAATTTGTACATCATATTCAGATGTAATCATTTGCACTTTACGTCCTTTTGCTCCCATAACTGTACGATGATGTTTTTGAGGTATTATGCATTCTTCTGTTACCATTGATTCCTAAAAAGTAACAATTATATATAAAATAATTATAAGAATATACAACAAATAAAAAAAAAATACAAGTTAAAAAATTTACCAATTCTTGTACAATTTCACGCATCCGTTGTTTCGCTGCTTCTATACATTCATGCGATCCTTTCAAAATTACACGATCACTATCAACACCAGCTCGAGGAAATGAAATTTGTACTCCTCCACATTCATCTGCTATACGATGTAATACACCTCCTCTTCGAGCTACAAAATGTCTATGATGTTTCGGATCGATACGAATTTCACCTTCAGTAATATTATCCTATAAAATAGATCAAATATAAAAAATAATTTGATTTATATGAAAAATAATTTTAATATTAAAGACAGATTTCAATATAATTAAAAATAACTATGATTAAAGATTTACAATTTCGCTAATCGTAGCTTCTAATTCAGCTTTAGCTTTTTCAACAGCTTCCTTTTTGCCCATTATTGTAATTACTTCTTTATCTTGATCATCTTCTGTTGGAAATATAATACGTGCTCCTGTGGATTCTCTTATCTAAGTAAATAAATCAAATAAAACACGATATATATAATTAAATATAACATATCATAACACATTATATGTAATTATATAATATAAGTTATATTATTAAATAACTAACTTTTTTAATATTAGCACCATTCTTTCCAATAAGAAATTTATGATGTTGTACTTTGGCACGTACTTCAGCTGAATAACTGGACAATTGCTTTTCATTTGTAAGTTCAAGTAACTGTTGTTTCGCTTTTTCAACATCTTCTTTAGGCCCTCTAATAGTTACCTATGAACAAAATATTTTAATATGAATAAAATAATATTAATATGAATAATTTTAATATAAATTATAATAATATATAATAATAATAATTTTAATAAATAATTT